TAGGTAGATAGATAAGTAGGAAGGGAGGTAGGCAGGTGCGTGTATATAACCATAGGAAGAGAGTCTTTCATTGTCAGACTGTGATTGGGAGTGTTCGGGAAGGAGACTGTTGTGAGCTCAAGTGAGAACAACCAGAGAGTGAAATGGATGGAGGTATATTGGTGCAGTACCGTACTGTTCTTTCGACTATCATTACCGACTTCATAGCGGACACTCTATCGTTGTCGCATCGCTTTTAGTACCCGAGAGAGTCTTTCTGGCAGCGCAATTTTTGGTAATAACGGAAGTTTAATCGCGAACGGTTCACGTGATAACATCGGCATGATCGGGGTCGTGGACAAGTTCCGAGGATCCTTTTTACGTGTGAAAAATACTTGGAATAATTATCGACCAATTGCTTTTACTTATCTGGCAGTGACAAAGGCTGCGTTCGGGGAGACGCAATTTAGCGCTATGAGCGTACTCTGTCCTTGTTCAACTTTTGCAAGTAACAAGGACAGAGCACGCTCATAGCGCACTGTGTTGATGCAATCTTGATCGCATCGCGGAAGAATACCATCGAAAACACATTAACGTCGAGGAAACGATACAAATGACGATGTAATGTGTAACGCTTTGTTTCTTTTTATCATTACGTAAAGACTGGTGGAGATAAAATTTGTGATAGATGACGAGAATATTGTAAATACACGCTATTATTACGTATGATGCTCAACACGTCCTTGATCGATTTTCAGTAAATCGTAGCAATCAGTATGAAATCGTAATGTTTCGTAATTGACCGAGACAAGAAATCTTTCTTGTCTCGTCGTAAAAATATCAAGAAATTAATTCTAGTTTATAATATCAGAGTATACTGTAATAAATAGTACGTAAGTCTGTCTGCTTATGCATTGACATTTGCACGAATTCGTTGATCAGTAGAACCCGTGAGGCGCGATCCTGAAACGTTTCTACGCGACGCGGACGTACGACAATATATATGAGTACTGGTATCGTAATAGTACCAATGCCATTGTCTTACTTTAAACTGATTTCGTGAAATAAAATATAACTATCATAAATATATTGACATTAGAACGTCATTCTTTCGCAGTGTTAGAAGTTTGCGTTGAAATATATGACGTTTCAACTCCTTAAACAATTACGACGAGGAAGTAGATCCTAATTGACACAGAAATTCAATATAGATGTAATCTGATTATTAAATTTTAATTAAATGTTTCTCGAAAACAACATAGGTGATAAACAAAGTTATTTTATACTTTTTACTCGCATCTTTTTCTATTATTTTTTTATAAAGATTTACATTTTCGATATTTGCACTATGATTTATTGACTTCCCATCTATTTCACGTATTGATGATGTATTTAATTGTGTAATTAATGTACAGTAAAACCTCTTTTACCCGAGGTAATGTGGGGAGGGGATACCTCGGACAAGCGAAAACTCGGATAACACGGAAGAAACACAAAATTCGAAAACTTTTATTATTTTTTATATATTTAAAATGCTACAATGGAATTTAACTCCACGAACATATAAAAGTAAAAATTTAACGAACGTAGATTAAAATTTATGCTTGTTTAAGCAAAAAGTATGTTGCAATCGCAAACTACTCCGCGCATACAGCATAGCGGCGTCATCCGTTTTATCCGAGTTTTTCCGTATTATCCGAGCGCACACCTCGATTAACGCGGAGTGCTCGGATAAGTCCGGTGGCTCGGATAACGCGGAGCCTCGGTTGATCGAAGGCCGTATAACCGAGGTTCTACTGTATTTAATAATGTAATTAATGATTCCAGTTTCGCCAAAAATATATTATGTATCGAGGATTATTACGCAATGTAAAAATTTGTGTTCCTTCGATATAATGTCGTAATCGGCGAATATTGACAAATAGGTCAATCGGCCAACTTTCACCAACTTATAATGAGTTCTATTACGGTTTTTCAAGATTCAACATCTTAAAACTTACCTGAAACGTCTTTGCAACATAACTGCAACATAACTGAGACTGTTGTGCTATCAGGGAACGCGCTTTAATGGGGGTACGATCGTTTTTTAATTCATTGAGACTTCGGCATTTCCTTGTTCCGTCGCACGATATCCGCGTATTAACTGCTCTTCCTTCCGCGATCAGAAACATAGCGGTATTTCCACATCGTGTCGCTACGAACGAAGTTATGTTACATATTTACTTAATGAATTTCAACAAATTCTTTTATATAAATAATAATGGTCGATGATTCTGAATCCTTTTGGGTTGCAACTTAACAAATAATTAAGCAGATTAAAGATTAACAAATTTGTTCTCTTATTTCTACAATATATGAAAAAATCTAGATTAAAATCAAGAGAAAAGTATTAATGTGCGTTGCCTGGCATGATGTTTGCTATCATATCCAGTGTTAGCTCTCTCATTAAATTTCTTTGTACAATTATACAACATCGTTTTACCATTGTCGTCGTTGTCGTCATCATCGTCGTCGTCACCATCTTCATTATTGTTACTATTAGTATTATTATTATTAATATTATTATTGTGTTGTTGCAGGACGAGGCAATATGGAAGCGTCATGAAAGGTATAAGTGGCGACGCGTCCTTCAATATTTGTGAAACTAAAAAAATTAGCATAGAGTATCCGTCACAGCAAGTATTCCATTACGAGAAGCAAGTACAGAGTTCAATGAAACAGCGAGATTAAACAAAAAAAAAATTAAAATATCTCAAGGCGAAGTTACTTCTATCTCGCCAGAATGGATTTCAGCACGACAGTGGTAACGTCGACCTTGAAAGGTGCTAACGACTTGATGGGCACAGGTTTATGGCTCGTGTCATTGTTAATCCTCGCTTACTATCGTTACGATCAGTTGGATCCCGAGGGTCGACTCATTGATAAATATCCTCTTTACTCTGAATACGATTTCATCGTGATCGGGGGCGGATCGGCGGGAGCGGTAGTCACCAATCGACTCTCGGAGATACCAGACTGGAACGTGCTGTTGCTAGAGGCCGGCCCAGACGAGAACGAGATTACAGATGTGCCAGCCTTTGCCGCGTACCTACAGTTGAGCAAGTTTGATTGGAAATACCAGACTGAGGTTACAGGTAAGGCTTGCTTGGCTATGAAGGGCGGCCGTTGCAATTGGCCCCGAGGTAAGATTTTGGGTGGAAGCAGCAGTCTTAACTACATGCTGTATGTGCGCGGTAATAAACAAGACTACGATCATTGGGAGTCGTTGGGTAATCCCGGCTGGGGATACGACCAAGTTCTTCATTACTTTAAAAAGTCGGAGGACAATCGGAATCCATACTTGCAGAAGAGTCCTTATCACGCGACCGGCGGTTATCTAACTGTTCAGGAGACGCCGTGGAAGGCGCCCTTGCTGCTCGCTTTTATTGAAGCTGGCGTTGAAATTGGATACGAAAACAGGGACATAAATGGCGAAAAACAGACGGGTTTTATGATAGCGCAAGGAACTATTCGCAGGGAAAACAGATGCTCCACCGCGAAGGCTTTTCTACGGCCCATACAATTACGTGAGAATATTCATATAGCTATGAACAGTCACGTGACGAGAATCGTGATTGATCCGTTGACTATGCGAGCGACAGGCGTCGAGTTCGTGAGGAACGGTCAAAGGCAGATAGCGAAAGCGCGCAAGGAAGTAATATTGTCAGCGGGTGCCGTCAACAGCCCTCAAATTTTGATGCTCTCGGGAATCGGGCCGAAGGAGCATCTACAACACGTTGGTGTTCCTGTTATCAAAGATCTTCGGGTCGGCGATAATCTTCAGGATCATATAGGTACGCCTTTAACATTCTTGATTGATAAACCAGTCACCTTCGTTCAGAATCGTCTTCCAGTCGTATCGGTGATAACGCACTACGTGGTGAACGGCAGAGGCCCCCTGACGAGTTTAGGTGGTGTTGAAGGTTTAGCTTTCGTAAATACAAAGTATGCCAATCACTCTATCGATTATCCGGATGTGCAGTTTCACATGGGGTCAGCCTCCATTAATTCCGACGCGGGGCAAATTCGAAAAATGTTAGGGCTGACGGACGAAGTGTACGACGCCGTCTTTCGGCCGATAAACAACCGTGATGCCTGGACTACGCTACCTCTTTTGCTGAGGCCCAAGTCTCGTGGCAGTATACGCTTAAGAAGCTCCAATCCTTTTGACAGCCCTATCATCAACGCGAATTACTTTTCTGATCCCATGGACATTGCAGTCCTGGTGGAGGCTGTGAAAATCGCGATAAAAGTCAACGAGGCGGAAGCCTTTAAACCATTTGGCTCGAGAGTTCATCGCGCCAAGTTGCCGAAATGCAGGCACCTGAAATTCGGCACCGACGCCTACTGGGAATGTCACATACGACAGATCTCCATAACAGTGTACCACCCCGTGGGAAGCGCAAGGATGGGTCCTTCCAACGATCCTACCGCAGTAGTGGATTCGAGATTGCGGGTTCATGGTATCGGAGGTCTTCGAGTTATCGACGCGTCCATTATGCCAACGATAACTAGCGGCAACACAAACGCTCCTGTTATCATGATCGGTGAAAAGGGCGCCGATCTCATTAAGCAAGATTGGTCGGCGCTACCATCGTCGGCGGTTAATTATAAGCAAGTATGACAAACGTGAGCTCAAAGAGGGCTGAGAAAAAAGTGCGTTGGGTGCAAACCGAAATGTATTATAAAATGTGAGATAATATATTGGGGGTTTATTTAATTAATACAAGTGACACGAAATCTTTTATAAGCGCTATAACTCTCGGGTCTCGAATCACACACTCTAAGGCCCGATTTCACCAACGCAAGTTAATCTAATCGTTCGATTAAATTTGTCACCAGAATTGCCAATAGCAAGACTTCAAAAACGAATGTTGTTAAGATCTATTCTTGTTGCGTGTCATAACAAGTCTTATAACCGTGAAAGTGGGAATAAGGTTGAATTATCATATAATAATGTTGAATAATAAAATGAATAATATATTTGATATAAATTAATAATTATGAGAATATTAACAACGCTATGGATTTCTTAGACTTCGACGAATACGATGATGATAATCTTGAAAGAAATAATGAAAAAAGAACGTATATTCAAACCACGTATAAATTATTTTGACGTTTTGAATGAGAAACTTTTCGAAGAAAGATTTAAGATACCAAAACCTGTCTCACCAATTCGACCACCGAGACATATATGCATCAAGAAAATATGTTAATAAAGATCAGTTTTATGTTCGGCATTTGGCAACTCTGAAAGTTAACCGACCGTTTTGATTAACTCGCAATGGTGAAATCAGGCCTAACTCTCATATTTTGACTGACCTGCTCACGTCGGTCACGCTTGCCTTTTATATCGAGAACTCGCGCGATATTTCGGCGGACATCAATAATCTTTCTTATGATTTCACTGCTCCTAGATCTCACCCATGGATGCATTACTTGAGATTATAAAATTACACAGGAAGCTCACGGTGTACTTGATAAATTGGATATTTATGGCAGAAATGTGCAATAATCCGATATTTCATCATCTATCGTAAATCCATTTGATATAACAACAGTAATGATTATCGCAATTTTAGAAAAACTTAATGCGAGAATCGAGGGGTAAACCGCTGAGGGCATTGTGGTGTACAGATTTGCGGCATTACTGGACATTACTAGGCACTGCTAGGCAGTTTTTGGGCAGTAGGCATTACTGGGGCATTATAAAGATAAAATAAAGTAATGCCCAGTGGGCATTACTTAATTTTATTATAATATCTTAGTGGCTTTGGTGTACAAGATTTTGGTCAGCGGTTTTCCCCTCGGCGAGAATGATACGGACACAGCTGACACAGCGACATGAACATTTTAGGACATAAATTTCTGGGCGGTTAATTTATGTTTGCATTTTTTAAGGTTGCGCATAAACAGGCAGTCGACAGATAAGGTGCTTTGGTTAATAAAGAATAAAAATACTTCTGTACAAATGTAATGAAATAACATACAAGTTAATGTTCCGAATCATTTCTCCGCCGTTGCCCGATGCCTTCTGGGCCTGCTCCTCCTCTCAGATTTCCTTGTGGCATTTACACAACACTCGCAAAAATCTTCGATTGCGCGAAATTTCGGACACTCCCGTACGCGATGTGAAATACCACGAAACGCACGAAATATTATTAACAAATATCGCATGACTTTCTGTCATACAAATTACTGAAACTAACGACTTGTATTTTTCATTCGGAATAATGGATAAATCACTTTTGAATTGTCGATATAAAATGCAACGCGAGCATCGGAAGCATATTCTGCGGTAAAGAAGTAGTTATTAGTCCGCAATAAAACGATATTTTACAAACTTTGTCATTCAATCTAATCCTCAAAATTAATTATGTGAGCGAAATTTCCAGCGATAAGTAGTTGTTATTAATTGCGACAGTTAATCGGGATCATTTTCGATTACATTTACATAATGTAAGAACGTGCAATAATTAACTTTGCAAAATTATTCATTCTCTTAACTTAACTGAAACTAACGACTTGTATTTTTCATTCGGAATAATGGATAAATCACTTTTGAATTGTCGATATAAAATGCAACGCGAGCATCGGAAGCATATTCTGCGGTAAAGAAGTAGTTATTAGTCCGCAATAAAACGATATTTTACAAACTTTGTCATTCAATCTAATTTAATCTAATAGCAACACATCGCGAAAGCAACACGCGGCAATCCAATACGGTGCGATTGGGAGCAATTGTGGATTCTAATGGAGCAATGGAGGAGTAATCATTTGATGCTGGTTAGAATTGCACAAAGCTATTAGAAATATGTTTTTTATTGAAAATTAAAAATTTTAGGTTTTTTGTTAATATTTCGAAAACTATTGATTTTAAAAGTGGAGCAATTGTGGATTCTAATGGAGCAATTCGGGAGCAATCGTTTGAGCTAGGTTTTATACGAAAATTAGAGACCCTCTAATCAGAGTCTGGCCAACAGAGTGGTCCGCCATGTTTAGTCAAATCCAACGAGAGAGAGGGCAGTACGAATATCTCAAAGAGAGAGTGAGATATTCGTACTGCCCTCTCTCTCGTTGGATTTGACTAAACATAGCGGACCACTTGTTGGCCAGACTCTGATTAGAGGGTCTCTAACGAAAATAAACTCCCAGCGCCAACTTAATTCCGGTAGCACGGACAGGCACCAAGTGGAACTCTAGTGGAGACTATCGGCAGTACTTGAAAATGGGTGTAGCGGAATATAGTTCCAAAAATGAAAATGGGCGTAAAGCGCTGGAATCAGTCGAGCGAAAACGGTAACAGGCAAAACGCCGGGATGGCCGCTCTCAGGTTTCTCTCTGATTCATGTTCTTACTATGTCTATGGCCGCGACTCGCTACTTTGCTCCCGCCTCTTCATTCGAAGTCGCGAACGCGTGATTAGTAATTACGCGCGATAGACAAGTTCAGTTGGTTCAGCCGATAGGTCGCGATAGGCGGTCAATTATCTCGTCGAAGCACTAGTAATGTCGAGATAACGCTATTGATTGCGATGCCCGGCGACGAGTGCAAAGAGAGAGATTAGTCGCCTAAGACCGTCGGCGCCGGTCGTGACTCGGAACCAGCGTGGCTAGCAGCCCTCCTCCTTTTCCTTCGTTCGGCGTGCCGGAAATCTTGCAAGTTTAACCATGCTGCGAGTGCTGCTCGGCCGCTCGATGCGCTCGGCGCGGCTGCTCGGGAGGAGCACGGAGATGGTCCGCGTGTCATGCGCGAGGCACCTGAACCTGCTGGAGTACCAGAGCAAGGAGCTCCTGCGCGACTCCGGCGTGTCGGTGCAGAACTTCGCCATCGTCGACGACCTAACCAAAACGAGCTGCGCCTTGGAGAAGCTACGTGAGCGTTACGCGGTCTCTCGCCGTTTCCCTGGCGAAACAACAAGTCACGATGAAGTGAAAATGACATAATGACTATCAAAGGTCACATTTCGATCACGGAAATTGATCGAATTACGTTCTCGAGATTTAGAGACGCCGTTTCACGCGGGCTGCGACACAAGCTGCCGCTTGATAAACGCTTCGAAGCGTTTCTCCTCTCCTTTTATCGTTGTTGAATGAAAGGAAATGAAGAATACTTCGAAGCACTTGTAGCGGCAGTTTGATCGCAGCCACGATATCTTTAGGACATCTTTTAAGCCCAATGTCCACGATGCTAGAACTTGGACCAAGTTCTAGCATTGTGGACATTGGCCTTTAGACCTGGGGGTCTATTACGGTTCTCGGATTGGGTGAAAATGACGAAAGTGAGCGGCTCTGTCTCTTACTAAAGGGACAGTTAGAAAGAGACAAAGCTACTCACTTTCGTCATTTTCACCCAATCCGAGAACCGTAATAGACCCCCTGGTCTATAATGAGCGATGTTAGTCGTTAGTGAGAGGTTCGAACTGTATGTTGATTCCATTCGGGAAGAAAAAGGACCGACACGTAGTTTTCACTTCTGACTAACGACCAACAAACTCATTGTAGACCGGACCTGGAGGCCTGTGTCCACGATGCTAGAACTTGATCCAAGTTCTAGTTTCGAGAAATATGTAGCCAATCAACTTGCAGCTATTCTATAAAAGCTACAAGTTGATTGGCTGTATATTTCTCGGAACTAAAACTTGGACCAAGTTCTAGCATCGTGGACACAAGGCTTTACACGTGCACTGGGGTGTGTTCCGTTTCACGCACGATGTGCATGATCGCCAAATGTTGAAGAAGGGTAAAAGCCTATGTCCACGATGCTAGAACTTGGATCAAGTTCTAGCATCGTGGACATAGGCCTTAAGTGATGCATCATGCGCACCCTAGGAATCACTGATGCCTTCCCACATGAATTGGTGCACATATCGACACATTGTGCACACATGTACAGTTGTGGTCAGAAAGGGGTGTCCGACGTTTTATGACAAATTTCGGAGTTATGGTCTATCGCGCGAGAGATTCTAGTATTTGCTCACGAATATGTGCAGCGACGCATTATTAGAGCAAAGGAACGATGTGTACGAATGTCTACGCGATGATACACATACAAGCGTTCCGAAAACTTATTGTGAAACGTCGGACGACCTTTCTGGTCGTGACCGTACATACATGGGAAATGTGTATGTGTTCTACATGTGCCTAAATTTATATGAGAAGACATTAGTAATTTCTAGTGTACACTAGGGCCGGTATTCATAGTCAGATCTTATATTCAAGACTGCCTTAAGATCATCTTTAGATACTTCATAGCCAGTGAAGTGTTCCATGCGGCATCTTTAGATAAATTCAATACGGTCTTGAATATAAGATCTGACTAGGAATACCCTAGTGTACGTGTCTAAAGGCTTGTGTCCACGATGCTAGAACTTGGTCCAAGTTCTAGTTCCGAGAAATGTGTAGCCAATCAACTTGCAGCTTTTATGGAACAGCTGTTAGTCGATTGGCCACACATTTCTCGAAA